ACCACAGCATAGACGTTCTCCCCCGACTTCTAGAATGCTTTGCCTTATATACATCTACTACCCATCCAACATTTTCATCTACCACAGCATCATTACAGAAAACTGCCCTAACTGCTTGTTTCAAAGATAGGAAAAATCCCATCTTTCTTTTACAGAAGCAATTCCTGAACTCATCACAGCCATCACAGATCTCCTATCTCATCTTAAGAAATCCTAACTATAAACATGACTTCAATCAGCACTCATCCTGTCATGCCTTGGCTCTGATTGGTTGTTTTTGTTCAGGCCCAGTGAATTCTTACAATCCCATTAGGAGCACTAGGAGGAGGAACCTGATTGTTTCACAATGTATCTGTCTCATGTACTACTGTCAGGATATAGTGAAAGCTTTAGCAAATATGATGAAAACTTTTACAAAGATTAGGTACTGCAGCATACACGGTCCGGTAAATGTAAAGCGTAATCATATGCTTTGAGTGTCCTTTCAATCATAATATTTCGGTGTACATGTCCCCCATCTTCATTGTCATTGCCAAATAGACTTAACAACAGTCTACGCCATCCTAACTTATGAAATTTTATTTTGGCCGCTTCTGTACAGCTAAATTTCTATCCTAAGATAAGATGGAAACATGTTTCTGTAATACCAAAAATCCTAAATGTCCTAAAATGAGATAAGATAGGATTTCAGATTGTTATGAGGCCTCTGAACTGAAAGAAGTATGATGTCTCCCTGGCAAGTTGAACTTAGCATGATCCTAACCCTGCCTAACACAGTCTAGATGCTTTGAGTAGAGTTATTGGTCCTAATGCACTAACCTGTCAATATTCAATTCTGCCCTTTAAAGAATAGTCCTGCTTCTTATCATTACTTACTCAATGTGATGTATTTCCTCTGGAAACAGTTGGGGTGGGACAGTGACGGATCAGTTACAGTAGAGAGGTAGGATTGTAGAAACAGTTCTGATAACTTCAGACTGGACTGAACTACTGTGAGACCAGTATGTTAAAGTAGAACCAGAAAGTGGCTCTCCAGCTTGGGAATTAATTTGAACACTCCTTTAAAGTAGCCCAATCTTACCTTCAAGCTCAGTATATATCAATTCCACCTTAAAATCAGTCTGCGTGGAAGATGCTCATTTCCAAGATACAAGTATATACGTATTTGCACTGCACATGGAAAACTACTGGAACTGCATAATATTAGAGGACATTTTGCTTTGTTAAACTGCATTCATTTTTAATTTTTATAATCTAATTTCTTTGTGCATTTTGAATATAGTATGTGAGTAAGTAGGCTACCTAAAATCTGGAAGATTCTTATGGAGGCACAGAGTGGGTGACTGCACACTGGGCTTTGGTGAAGCTCTGTAACAAAAAGTATATTGTTTCTGCTCCAGCCTGTATCTCATATAGGACATGCAGACGTTACTGCTTTACTTTAGTACACTGGGATCCATCACACTTTGAATTAAGGCATGCTTTTTGTAAATATGTATATAAGGAAAGGGACAGATGAAACCCACTTTGTCTGCAGTTAAATTATTGCTTATTTAGATGTTGTTTGTATGTCTCTTACATCACTTGAATCTTACTGTATTTCTAAGGAGGTTTTATTTATTCTTTTTTAAGTTTTTTTTAAGCCTTTAAGGGTGTTTGATGAATGAAGGCTATTGTTATTCCGAAGCTGATGTGAGTATAAGACAGTTCCACAGATATCTCATGATTTTGAGGCTGTAAAGGTTTAATGTTGTTAATAGTCAGTAATCACTAAGAAAAAAAAAACTATATTGTTCCGTTCATTCAAGAATCTCTGTGGTTGTAACTTAAATGTACAAGTTCAAATTTAATAAATTCAGGTTTGGGGCTGTAAGGTCAGCTCCACTCAGCTCAACTCATGTCTGTCTTTCACTCGTCTTCATTTACAGCAAAACATGGTCTTCTCACGTGAAAGAATGTTCTTTATTTTTTACAACCACAGCATCAACAGAAAAACATACTGTTTTTCAAAATCTTTCTTAAGCAGTGAACATAAAAAATGACTGCACTTACCATGCACTTGGTTTCTATTGACGGGGCAGATATGGAGGAATATTCATGGGGTGTCCAGAGGGTGGCCTGGTGGTAGAAATATCTGCTGATTTAATCCCAAACAATCACATATATCAAAATTTGGAAAAGCTCCCAAATGAAGATATTTGAACTCAAAAGCAATGTTGTGGCACATTCGTAAATCACTGAATAGAAATATCT